GCTGCTAGCATGCTGTTCAAGAAAGTGTTTTAATATTTATGGATCTAAGGATACTCTGGTCACATGGCTGAATAATGAAGCCACATTTGGGGAACAGCACCTGGCATAAACATTATTTTTGATGAGCTATTCCGCTGAAGGATGAGCAGAACAGTTGTCAAGGAATAACAAAATCTGGAAATCTGGCAGTCTTCCAGTCCTGCTTCCCTGCAGTAAGCATGAGCCACTGGTATAAAGTGTTTGTAAAACCAATCCTAAAATATTTCTCTGGTGATCCATGCCTTTTTGTTAGCATAACACAGTAATGGACTGGTAAGAAATTCACTTCTTACAGTCAGCAAGGAGGCAAACTTTTGCCTGTCACAGCAAATTTATACACTTATGTGTGCCTGCTGCATTAGCACATTCCCACAGAGTTATTCTGTTTTTGACGTCCTTAATGCTTGTAGCATTTTCTCATCCGCAGTAGCCAGTGTTTGGGACACTAACACCAAAACAAGGATGTTTGATCTACATTATAGACTTGTTCTGGTGTCAGATTTTTTATCACTGATGACATTGGCAAAGCTGTTAATGATTTTCTCCACTGCTTTGTGAAGAACAGATGCTTTATCACCACAAATCATTAAACATTTAATGCTATGTCATTTCTTAAATTTCAGCAACCATCCTGTTGAATATTCAGTTTCCTTTCATTTTCAGTTCATCGTGATAGATCTTTGCTTGTTTCATGATCAGCAAAGCACTAAGTGGTCTGTGTTCACTTCAATGCTAATGGATCCAATTTTTTTCAATAAATTATCAAGGTCTTCATTTTAACTTTTATGTAGTGTTTTTTTTCTGTTTTTCTTTCGCTTCTGTTCATCGGTTTGAACATAGAACTTCAACAGTTTATCCTTCTGTTTCTTCAGGTCCTGTACGGTGGCTGTTCTAACACCATATTCTTCTGTAACTTGTTTCACACACCCTGTTGTCCAGTTTCGCCAACAGTTTGACTCTCCATGGTATAGATCAACATAAATGCTTCTCCCTTGTTATATCACTGCTCCCCACAGGGATATCTTCAGGCCTCTTTGATATTTTCCACAATATCATTACACTGCAGGGCAGAAAATAGGCAAAAATCCACAGTGAGTATTGTGGCAGGTCTTGGCTTCATGGGGCATCATGGGGAACCTGCCATCAATCATCCTGCCTGCATATGTGCCAGTATGTGTTGATTGATTGGATGAGGGGCATGAGGGACATAAACTGAGGGTTAGAGCCAAGTGTTTATTTGACCAACTGAAAAGGGAATTTCCATTTGCTCTGATGGCAAAGACAGGTGGAAGGGGAGAGCAGGTTTGGGGCTGTCAAATAGGCAATTTGGAAATCAGAGGAGAGGTGTGGGCTGTAAGTTAAATGAGAGAGTAATAGTATGTAAAGCCATGAGTGTTAATTTGGGTACTCTAGCAACAGAGAAGAGTTAAAGATGATGCACTAATACTTTTTATTTGGAAGGTGAGACCCCAGGGCGGCAAAAGGAAGAAAAAAAGTGAGGAGTGAGACAGGGAAGGGTGGGGAGCATTGCCATGAGAAAGCACACAGACAGTGTGTGCCCCATCCTGGGACTCCTGACAGAGAAGAGAGCTTGAGGAAGGACAGTCTCTTCTTTGTAAAGCTCATATGGTGGAGAAAGAGCACGCAAAGAAAACTCCACAAGAACAGCCAGCCAGAGAAGAGCCAGGAGGAAGTGTTGTCCCATAAGAACGAAGGATACTGTGGCTAGGTCAAGTGCAATGGAGATTAAGAGAATGGGAGGAAAATAAGAAACAATGACAGAGCAGAAAGGAACAAAGAGCTTTTCAAAGAAACATTATCACTCTAAGGTAACCCACTGTTTTCCTTCTTAAACAACAACTTTATTTATCAGAAGCATAAATCTTGCTAATTTGCAGTTTATTCAAAGCAGTTTTTTAAAATTATAAGTTGTTTTCTAAATATGTGAATGCTAATTTATCACAAACATGCAAGGACCATTCAAACAGTTGAAGTGCAGTCTATATAACAGTTATAGTCAAGTTTACCTGGGAATCTAAGAAGAAATTTGTTGTTCACAATTGGAATCACCTAACTTCCTAAACTCATAGAAATATTCAATTGTTAAAAGCATATACTGACACAGGAAAATGTATGAAAGACTTTACATGGTAACCATAAAACAATAGTACACAATTAAACTTGGCTTTGAAATATCAGTATATAAGATATCCAGATGTAAAAATAAGTATATAAGAAATTAAATCATCTTCTAATAATCTCGGTTAAAATACAACTGCATTTCTTTTGTGTTTTTGAGCATATTCTGCATTTTAGAATTTAAAATTGATCAGAAATGGACAGTTCTTTTAGACCTGAACCTTCAAAAATCTTTTAGACATGGACCTTCAAAAATCACAGAAAGTTGTGAATTAGTGTGGAGGTGGGAAAGATTCCTAATTAATACATTCATGTCAGCTTGTGTCTCTTTTTTCTTTTTGAAATCAACTGAAAGTAGATGCTAAATGTAAATACTAATTGATATGCCTCTCTATTAGTTTCTTGAAGCTGCCATAGCAAATTGCCACAAACTTTTTGGATTAAAACAATAGAAATTTTTTCTTTCACAGTTCAAGAGCCCAAAAGAGCAAAATCAAGGTATTGGCAGAGCTGATTCCTTCTGGAAGTGCTGAGGGAAAGTCTATTCCCTGCCCCGCTCCTAGCTTCAGTGGCTGCTGGCGTACCTGGTGTTCCTTAGCTTGGGTCTGCCCTCCTGTCTCTGCCTCATTTTCCTATGGCCTTCCTCTCTGTGTCTCCTTCACTGGCTTCTCTAGGGACATTCGTCGCTGGGTTGAGGGTCCACTCTGCTCCAGGATGATCTCATCTCAAACCTTTAATTACCTCTGCAAAGACCCTTACTTTAAATGAGATCACATTGTGTGGTTCCCAGTGGATTGGAATCTTGCAGGGAACACTATTCGACCCACTACAGCGCCCATCGATATACATTTCTTAGTTTGTGGTAAATGTTGGTATCTTCTTTTGCTCCCTTAATAATTGCCAACACTTCTTTCCTAACCCTCCTTGACTAGTGTTACTTATACTTGGGGCTTATTAGGTGGAAGAATTTAAAACCATAATATGCCTTTGTGACTCTTATGACCAGGAGAACCCTTAGCAAGTGTATAGTTAGTGAATAGCAATCCATTAGTATGTATAATGTTTTAATTAACACAGCATTTTATTATGAATTTCAGAAGCAATTATTTATTGTACTACTTCTCAATTTTATTAACATAATATTTGATTTGTAGTAAAAGAATAGATAAAACAGTGTGCTGTTTATTTTGAGTAATGTATGCAGAATGTGCTGAGTAAATTGAATTGCGATTAGTATGTCCAAGAGCACATTGTACACTTAAACATGAAAGTCTGAAATGGAAAATGTGTGCATTTAAGTCTAGAATGAAAATCACTTAAAATCGAAATGTAACCTCATTTTAACATTAACAGTAAAATAATGCTAAATTTCATTCTGACCATTGATTATAAGTTTGCTTCTCTGGAATTAGGAACATTCCATCTTACTAAAAGTGTCTTCCACGTTGGAAAAAATTTACAGAATTTGCAGTTTCATAAGTTCACATCAGAAGCAAATGAATGTTTTCTATGTTAAGAAAAATGTCAATTCCTCTTTTTCAGATCAATGTCATAAAAGCTATTAAATACTAATATACTTATATTAGCACAATTCACAATAGCAAAGCTATGGAATCAACCTAAGTATTCATAAATGGATGATTGGATAAAGAAAATGTATGACATACACACACTGGAATAGTATTCAGCTATAAAGAAGAATGAAATCATGTCTTTTGTAAAAGCAACATGGATGGAAATGGAGACAATTATCTTAATTGAAACAACTCAGAAACAGAAAGTCGAACGTCACATGATCTCACTTATAAGTGGGAGCTAAATAATGTGTACACTTGGACTAGAATGTGGAATGATCAACATTGGCGAATCAGAAGGTGGGAGGGTGGGGGAAGGTAAGGGATGATAAGTGGTGTAATAGATGCAATGTACATTATTAGGGTGATGGTAATGGTTATGCTAAAAGCCCTGACTTCAGCACTACACAATATATCACTGTAACAAAACTGTAATTATATCCATTAAGTTTATACAAATAAGAAAAATACTTGATGTTTCATGTTATTTACTTGGGGGAAATATAGTCTATGATACGTAAATATTCTGAAAGTTTCCATTGATACCCCTTTAAATTTTCAATTCATTCAAAACAATGTAAGCTCAAGTAATTTAATTGGAAGATTGCCCTGTAGGCTACTGAAAGTCCTCCTCTTAAAGGAAGTAGCTATAAGATATGCTTGATACATTTTTAGATATTTAAAATACATTAATTTCACTAATTCTTAGTTTCAGTCAAAATTTGCATTATAATCTTAATAATTAATGTCAATGTCCCATGTACCATATGGTATATTACTATAAACCTAAGGAGATTACTGAATGTAATTATCAATATTTATATAGTGGCATTTTGACAAAAGCTCAAAGAGTTGTAAAGTGGCTATCATGTTTAAAGATAAATAACATAAAATAGATTTGATGCGTATTATGATAAGACATTATTGTTTTTATAAGCCTATACTGTTTCCTTAGATACAGCATGAAGCTCGCAATTACCTCTTTAGCTATAATATGCTAAAGGATAACTATAATACTTCTGACAAAGTAAAACTTTTAATGAATAAACTCTCATATAAGTACAATTTTTTTTTTTTTTAGATCGAGTCTTGGGTTTTTTTTTTTAGATTGACTCTGTCGTGTCACCCAGACTAAAGTGCAGTGACATGATTTCAGCTCACCGCAACCTCAGCCTCCCGGATTCAAGCCATTCTCCTTCATCAGCCTCCCAGGTAGCTGGGACTACAGACGTATGCCACTACGCCTGGCTAATATTTGTGTATTTTTAGCAGAGTTGGGGTTTCACGATGCTGGTCAGGCTGCTCTCCCTAACAATACTTCGTGTTTTGGCACTAAATATTGATAATAAATCTTCATGTTCACAGGAGTTCTTATTAAAGCAAACTAAAGGAAAGAAAAAGAAATAAAATAATTTTAGCTTAATTATATCTTATGACAATTATGCAATTTCATTTTTATTTATGTTACTATAAGGCCACCCATTTATTTATTCAAATCAATGCTTGAATATTAGCGTACAATTTGTAGTCTCTTACATCAACTGAGACCTATTGTGTCTTTAAAAGAGTGAACATTTGACAGAAGTTCTTTGAATGGCGGTCCTTTCTTTCCCTTCTCTCCCACAGCTCAAATCTCTGGGTAGAGTTGAAACGTCCTCCACTCTAGCTTCATCATTTAATTCTACGTTTGTCATGATTAAGTCACTTCACTTTTCCAGTCTTAACTTTCCTCACTGAAAATGCAGGGGAGACAGAGAAAAATGCTTGACCTCTCCCTAGCAAAGACATGAAAACGAAAAAAAAAATAGGATGTGGTGAGAAATAATGAAAATGCATCTACAAAGAATATCTTATGCTTTTCAAAATAATGATCATAGCATATATCAGGTTATTTTAATTAATTCTTCCATTCGAGAGGCATGTATAAAATAGCAAACAAAGGTAAAGAAACAGTTTGGTCTAAAAACCAAGTGCTGAGAATTTTTATGTTGAACTTTTTCATTCCCATTTTGCAGGTGCAGGTTCAGAATAAGATGAATACATTTGCAGCAATTAAAGGCTTTGTTGAATAACTGAATCAGCCAACTCTTCACAAACCATCTTCTACCTATGCCTGCCAGAAATTTTCTCACTGCTTTAGAGGCTAACGACTAATACACAGCAGTCATCTGTTGCACCGCAAAGCCCTACAAACAGATTCAATGTGATTGTTCTTTAATGAAAAAGAAATATGGTCTCTATATGCTGCTTTCATTCTCTTGGGGTAAAAAGATTTTATTCTCAATTTAAAACCAAATGCTATCATCAATATCCCTTGGAAATTCCACTTAATTAAAATGCTCTAGTCATAAAACCTGCCAAATAAAAACTTGGTTAAGTTTTCCAATTAACAGCATTTAATTAGAATTCTATAATATGGAGGGGATCTGCTTGTGTAACTTATCCTCATCAAAGAGACTGTAGTTTGGTCAAAATAAAGAGAACACTTAAAACACAATGGATATCAGTAGGATAAAATGTTCTTCTTCCAAACTAATTCCTCATCTGGTTGACACGACAGGAGAAAAAATGTCACACTCATTTAATCTGTATGTGCTGGATGCATTCTCATGACTCCAGCCTGCTGCAGTCAAATGCCTGCATGGCTGCAGCCACACGGTTATGGCTCAGAACACAGGGCAGCCTGGTTTCTGCATCCTTTTCAAACCCATTACTAGCTCATTCCTGTGGCACCTACCTGAAAAAGGAAAAGTTAAAAGAAATCAAAAATAAAATATTTTCCATGTAAGTCACATAGTGTATGAATTGTACTTCCTTCAGTTCAAAGAGGCAAAAAAAGACTCTACGAGCAATTAAACAACAAAGTAACAGCACACTGTCTCAGTGTTTAAAAAGACATTAAAAGCTTATGCTATTTGGAAAATTATATGATCAAGGTCTGTCATTGCTCTTCTCTTGAATGTCAGGGTAATCATTTTCATGTACGTTGGCAATTCTGATGCCGGAACATTGTCCCCAGGTGAAAGCACACTGCTTTCTGTGCAAATAACACCTGTGAGAAAACATGGAAATGGAATGGCCAAGACATTTCACATTTTTAACCATAAACTAGAATTTATATATTTGCAAACTTTTTATGTTCATAAAAATCTTGATTTTTCTTTAGAGTGAGAGCATTGCTATTTCTTGTTCAAACGAAAGATAATGGGAAGAATAGGATTATATAATGTAGATGTGAAGGCTTCAAGGTTGTGTTTGATCTCACCATGGACAATCAGGTTAATTGGGAATTTGACAGGAAAAGGAAGCAACCTCACGTCTGGACCTAGGTCAAAGGGAGGACAAGTACAAACTCCTACAGCATAAAAGGTTCACTCCTGTGACTTAATACAAGTTGCTACTTTGACTTTTGAAAATGACAACCATTCTTAGCTCACTGGTCATCCAATAACAAGCCAGGGTCCCTTGGCTGTAGTCACTTTACCCCAATTTAGATCCTTAAAGTTGGTGCTAACTTCTGTCATCCCTACTGCCCCAATGCAGGATAGTTTTGATCCACTATCTTGACTTAACTTAAATATTTACCTATTTGCCTACTTTTAATTTCCTTATATTATTTCTTCAATCGAATTCAATATATTTTAGATTTTTCTATTAAAGTAATACTAATTGCTATATTATAAAATCAGAGCAGAAGTTTATGAATTACTCCAGTCCAACTGGTGACCGTTATAAGTTGACTTTTTTGGAAGCAGAAGCTGAGATCCAGTGTGATGTGGGAGATATTTATTGCGGATCAACAACTACCAGTGCCAGAGAGAAGATGGTAAACCAGATTGCTCAGAAACAAAAGGCAAAGCACAATGCGAGTTCAACAAGCCTTAGGGCCAGCTGGAGCATAGCCAGCCAGACAGAGTTGTCCTGTGCAGGCTTGAAATGGCCAAGCCTTTATAACCTGGCTTGATTATTTATTGGATGTGGGCTACACCAGGAGAGGCAGCTCCCTGCTGCTAAGGCAAAATCCTGAATGAGGTATTAGCTGGATATTGTCTGCTGACAGTATCCTCTTTTCTGATGGAACAGGAACTAATATATTTGACCGATCAATGGTAGAATGGCATGTAACTGCACTGTTTTTACTTGCTCTAGCCATTGGGGTTAATATTTAGCAGGGTCCACAGCAGTGCATTGTCACCCTCCAGGATCCACCATTTCTCTACAGGGAGCAGATGGTCAATTAAACAGAAATATATTGCGGTCCTCAATCATTTAAATCAGGGCAGTAGAGTTATTTTTCTGTAAAGATAAATACAAGAGTACATATTTTAGGTTCTGGGAACCATATATGGTCTCCGTTATATATTCTTTGTTTGTTGGTTTTTACAGTTCTTTAAAAGTGTAAAAATCATTCTTCGCTTATCAGCCACACAATGACAGACCACAGACTCATGGCCATAGTTAGTTTTCCCAGGATTTAGATCCTGAAAGTCAGTGCTGACTTCGGCATCCCTATGCGCACAATGCAGTATTATTTTATTTGCTCTCTTGGCTGAGAGAGGAAGGGAGTTTCTCAGACTTCTGCTTGGATCATCCTCAATAAAAGCCATTTGTTATCTGGCTCCCGTGTGCCTCCATTCTAACTGGGGCCATGAGTAAGCTTGGAGTCTTCAGATGGCAATGTTGACATGGGCCCCGGATCCAGCACGCCTCACAATACTTGTTATCAGTTTTTTTTCCAGTATTAGGGGTTGAATTTTGGTCCTCCACGAAATTAATATGTCAAAGTCCTAACCCCAGCACCATAGATTTTGACCTTATTTAGAAACAGGGTCATTGCCGATGTAAAAAGTTTAGGTGAGCTCATACTGGCGTAGGGTGGACTGTTAAGCCAATATGACTGTGTATTTATAAAAAGTGGAAACTTGGACACAGTTACACACACCAAGATAACACAATGCGAAGATGAAGGCAGAGATGAGGATCATGCTTCTGTTGTACAAACCAAGGAGTACTAAAGATTGCAATGGCCACCATAAGCAGAAAAGGGCCCTACAACAGATTCTCCTTTGCCGTCCTCAAGAGGAACTGACCCAGACACCTTGATTTCGGGACTTCTGGCCACCAGAACTGTGAGACAATACATTTCTGTGGCTTATTTTTTTTTCTCACCCATGGATTGGGGTGACTTACATTTCTGTGGTTTAAATCCTCTAGTTTGTGGTTCTTTGTTACAGCAAACCTTCGCAAATTAATATGCTGAGTACACATTCACCCAAGGAAATGGCTATGACCCCTGGGCAAGGCCTGGGGACTCCTTACCAAGCACACTGACTGTGAGGTGTGGCTCCTTCCCTCTGGGAACATGGCCTCCCCTGCGGTCAGTGGGTTCCAGGTCAGAAAACTGACTCAGATCCAGAAATCAAGCAAAGGGTATTAACACTTTTGGGCGACTGCCTTCAGAATTTTGATCGTATCTCCTTGATTTCTCCTGACTGTACGAGATCAGCGGCACCCCGCTGGCTGGCTTTCTACCCATGCTGTTTTCAGGGTTGCTGTACTCTATTATCTCCACAACTTTCAGTGGATCAGATTTTTTGGCTACTGCCCTCCCAACCCATTATGGTCATTGTGACGTTCTAATCACCTGGCCTCTATTGTTTTAGCGTCCCCTTGTTCCCACTACTATCAGTTTGCCTAATTCTGTAAGGACATTTCTTACCATCTGCCTTGGTGTGAAGAAGAGAGCCACAACCAAACATTCAGAGATGCTGGTGCTCTTGCCAGCAGTTCATTCCATGTAATATAGTTATCCTGCAGGCTTTCTGGTGGATCATAACCATCTGCAGCTCTTCCGTTCTCACACAGTGTCCGCCCCAGCATTTTAGTTTTTCCATCCCTTCTTCCAATATCCGCTAGGCAATTCTGATGCTTCAACTTTACTTAGTGTCACAGATGCAAGGTACAAAGAGGAGTGGAACTTCATCAGAACTGAAAAGAGGAGAATTAATTAAATCTACACATATGACTGTATGCTGTCATTCCCAATCTTCATGCACAGAATTTTGCATGCCTCGTGTCTATCTCCTTCCCATTGCCCAGACATGATGAAATGTAAGGTTTCATCCCTGGAGAAATTAAACTCTCTTCTGCAAAAGCAATCCACAGTCTGAAATTTGGTTATTTCTCAGAATATTTACATTTATCTTGCTTCCAATAATTCTAGAACAAATTTGACAACAGACACGCCTTATAAACGTACCCAGATGTCCTACTCTCTTTTTCTCACCTTAATATTAGAAATATAAAACAAACTATGGGTAAACAAATATATGAGGAAGTTTTCAACGTGGAAGTACACACGGAGATACTTTAGCTAGATGAAGAAAAACTAAAATGTAACAGCATTCTCATCACATTTCATGTAATCTGGAATATTGAGAGCATTTTGAACACTTCTAGAAATTTTAAAACATGCAATTACACAGAATAAAGTCTAATAATATTTTAACCTTAACTCTAAAGTACCTTAACTCTAAATTCTTTAAAAATGTTGTGAGAAAATATTTTTAATTTAAAATTTTATACTTTACCAGATGATCAATGAAATTAATATCCACTAAAGGATTTTCCAGACATGGAAGAACTCAGAAAATTTCTCCCCTTGCAAGCTTTTCCCAGGAAATTACATGATATATGTTCCAGATAAAGAGCAAATTAAACCAAAAAATATTAAATCACATGTATCAATTAGGTCACTTTTAACTCTAAATTACTCTAAACCAAATACAAACTAGCATATGCAGTTCATTATAATCATCAATATCATCATCAAAATGGCATGGAAATTCTTTATGCATTTGTGTAGTTTTTTTTTTTGTTTTTTGAGATGGACTTTTGTTCTGTTGTCCAGGCTGGAGTACAGAGGCATGATCTTGACTCCCCACAACCTCCGCCTCCCAGGTTCAAGTGACTCTCCTGCCTCAGCCTCCCAAGTAGCTGGCATTACAGGTGTCTGCCACCATGCCTGGTTAATTTTTGTATTTTTAGTAGAGATGGGGTTTCACTATGTTGGTCAGGCTGGTCTCAAACTCCTGATCTCAAATGATATTCCGGCCTCGGCCTCCTAAAGTGCTGAGATTATAGATGTGAGCCAGTGTGCCCGGCCTATTTGTACATTGTTGGTGTTTAGGGGAAAGTTTGGTTTGAATTTGAAGCAATTCCATCTACAATTGAGTCTTTCCATCTTTTGGCTCACTCTCTCCTCATTCACTTCTTGATTCGATTCTGTCTCTTTTAATCTTTTGACTACAAGTGAACGCAACAGACACAACACAACATCTTCTTAGCCCCATGTTCATGAAAGGCAAGAGCTTCTTTCCCAAATCAAAACAGTAGTCTAAAGTCTGACTTTTTATTTTCCTGTCCAAACCTAGTAACTTAGACAAAGGGAAAAAAAAAAAAGAAGGTGAATTAGCTAGAATAAATAATTTTAACTATCCAGATTCCTCTTCTTGTTAGGAGGTTTGGCACAGTTCCATAGAAATTACATTATGTTAAAGTGAGATAAAAGAGTTTGTTGGGGAAAAAAAAAAAAAACCAGCATGGATAGAGCTAGGGAGGAGAAAGAAGCTGGGAGAGCAGCTAATGCCAAATGTGCAGTACACACAAGAAACAGGGAAGATGGGGTCCTTTTAAAAAACAAATAGGTGAATGAAAAGCTCAGGCCGTACAGCCCAGAGGGCAGGTCGATCAGTCCAGAGCTGGGAAATAAAACATTCAGGTGAGAGATTATCAAAAGTAAAAGATGTCCTTTAGAACACCTGCTACATCAAGCTACTTAAAAAACAATTTTATGAAAAGAGAATATTACAATGAGAAACACAATGTCAGTGTATTAGTCTGTTCTCATGCTGATAATAAAGGCATAGCCGAGACTGGGTAATTTATAAAGGAAAGAGGTTTAATGGACTTATAGCTCCACATGGCTGGGGAGGTCTTACAATCATGGCAGAAGGCCAAGGGGAAGAAAGACATGTCTTATATGGTAGCAGTCAAGATAATGTGTGCAGGGGAACTCCCCTTTATAAAATCATCAGATCTCATGAGACTTACTATCACCAGAACAGCTGGGGAAAGTCCCTCTGCCATGATTCAATTACCTCCCACCGGGTGCCAACCAGGACCTGTGGGAATTATGGGAGCTACAATTCAAGATGAGATTTGGGTGGGGACACAGCCAAACCATACCAGTTAGAAACTCTAGTGAAAAGCAAAACTTTTAACTGAAAGAAATGTAATCATGAAGTAGTATTTAACTTTTCAGTGAACACTATTTACACGATCATATTGTTTTAAATACTAAATATTCATTGCTTGTTTAACTGAATATACTCTCTATCTCACTGAAGGATGAAGCAGGGGAGGTGGTGTGTGGTGAGCAGTAGCTAAATTCTTGTCCTTCATAACAAGAAGCAAATAGGTAGTGTCAAAACTTGAGAAATCAATATACAGTAATCTGTTTAACTTTAAAGGTATGTAACTACCAAAAGAAAACCTAAAGGATGACAAATTCATTGACTCAAAGGGAAAGAAACATAGGGAAAAAGTAGACGGGGATATTTTAAAAGTCTTTAGAGATTAATTTATTTTTTATTTTATTTTATTTTTGAGACATGATCTTGTTCTGTCCACTAGACTACAGTGTAGTGATATGGTCATGGTTCACTGTGGTCTTGACCTCCTGGGCTCAGGTGATCCTCCCACCTCAGTCTCCCAAGCAGTTGGGAATACAGTCACATGCCACACCACCAGGCTATTTTTTTTTTTTTTTTTTTTTGTAGAGACTGAGGTTTCACCATGTTCTCCAGGCTTGTCTTGAACTCCTGGGCTCAAGTGATCCTCCTGCCTGGGCCTCCCATAGTCCTGTGTTTCTCCTGAACACCTGTATGTGAAGGCCTCAGCCTGTTTGAGTCCTGACTGGCGGGTTCCACCTCCTTCACCTCCTTCTCCTCCACCTGCTGTGCTTCTTCAGACACCTGGTCCCTCTTCCAGCAAGTCTTTGCAACATGCAACCTTCAGCAGTGACTGTATTTATAACAATATTTTTACCATTGAAAATTCTTGAAATGGATGTTTTTTAAAAAGGGAAGGGGATAAGGCTGATGTGACCTCTGGTATTACTAGCTGCAATGAATGTATCTGATGTTTTATTTCTCTAATGCATAACTCACTTTTTTATGGGTTTCATGGGTTAGTTCCTTAAGGCACCTGTAAGTCTGAAGTGTTTTTTTCATTACCAAAGGTTCTATTAATTGAATATTTGAAGAGATAAATATCACTTCTGAGTCTTGTATTTTATCATAATCTCAGTACTCTTCATTCATTTAACCATTAATTCATGCATGCATCAATACAGTCATTTATTTATTTAATTAAACAAGTGATAAGATTGTGGAAAGGCAACGTGATCTAATATTTAAATATATTAATTCTGCAGCAAGATCACTTTTGTTTGAATCTGCTTCTTGGTATATCAGTCAAACCTCACTGTGCCCAAGTGTTTTCATCTGGAAAATTTGAATAAAATACACATGCCTCACAGGGTTATCACTTTTATATGTTAAGATACGTGAGTTGCTTAGAAGAGTTCATGGTTTCTAATAATTACTAAATGATTTTAATACAAACAAATAAATATATGCTATTCAAAAGAAAGGTACTGTTTTCATAAATGCTGTATGTAGTTATTCCTGTATCATTTAAAAGCACAGGAAATAAAAGAAAAATAGAAAAGTGTGACTGCACAAACTGAAAAGCTTCTGTGCAACAAAGGAAACAATTGACAGAGTGGAAAGGCAACCTGTGGATTGGGAGAAAATATTTGCAAACCAAAAATATCTGATAAGGGGCTAATATCTAAAATATATAATTTAGATATTAAATTTGTACAATGCAACAGCAGGAAAAACCTACAAATAACCCAATTAAAAATGGACAGCATGGGAAAGACCTGCCCCCATGATTCAATTACCTCCCACAGGGTCCCTCCCACAATAAGTGGGAGTTCAAGATGAAAAGAAAACCATAACGTTATTGTTGGAACACAGTTGAAATAGTATAAGATTCACATAATAACAGTTATGAAAGAGAAAGTAAAATCTCTTTCTAGTTTCTGTTTAAGATCAAGGCAGACTTTTCCTAGAAAAATTACAATCATGTCCAGAGCAAACATTGGCAGCAGTTAAAGCGTTATCATCAATTTTAATATTGTTTGTGCTGAAATTCTAAGCAAAGAAATAAATACCTTAAAAAAATTGGGGTTGAATTAGCACCTACAAAGTGAGCAATTAATGACTACATAGTAACTATCAATGCCTTTTTCCACCTCTCTTTAGATATTGATACGGTTTGGGTGTGTCACCACCCATATCTCATCTTGAACTCCCACTTATTGTGGGAGGGACCCTGTGGGAGGTAATTGAATCATGGGGGCAGGTCTTTCCCATGCTGTTCTCATGATAGTAAGTCTCACGAGATCTGATGGTTTTATAAGGGGGAGTTTCCCTGTAAAATCTCTCTTCTCTTTGCCTGCTGCCATCCATGTAAGACATGACTTGCTCCTCCTTGCCTTCCATTATGATTGTGAGACTTCCCCAGCCATGTGGAACTGTAAGTCCATTAAATCTGTTTCTTTTGTAAAGTGCCCAGTCTTGGGTATGTCTTTATCAGCAGCGTGAAAACAGAGTAATATAGATATACAACATCCACTCATACCTTTCATCCTATACATAGATTAAAATACATGTTTACAATAAATGCACTCATCCCACACAAAATACCCATGTTTTCACCCTTTTACTGCTCCAGTTTCAAGTTCGAGATCTCATGGCTGTGTATAGTTTGCTCCATCAAATTCCAAATTATTGGTTATACTTTGCTTTCCTTAAGGGAAACAAGACTAATTATCCATTCTCAACACACCCAGGATGCAAGGGCAGGGAAGAATAGGGTAACTAAGTAGAAACTAACATTCATTAAGTGGGAAATGTGCAACACACATGGTAATGACTGGAGGCTCATCTCCATCAGCTCCTGTCTTAAACAAAGAGAGAAAAACTCCTGGCCAGAGAAGAAATGGATCTGATTTTTCAGCCACTCATCTTGATTCTTCTCCTCTGACTAGTGACTAATTTAGGTAGGAGCATGTGACTCAGTGATTGCCAAGGAAAGGTGAGGAGGAGCTTACCTCTGTGCTGAGAAGCTTATGTCAATACTTTTCCTCACTGATTCAAAACAGACTATGGGGAGAAAGAGAAACGTCTGACACTTTTTGGGGGTTGAAATGCCATGCCTACAACTGCTAAAGACATACATGAACAGATTTCTTTTTATATAAATTACATTTCACTTTCTATCATCACAATTAATATGCTAATTGTAGAACACTTTGAAAGTACACATAGGCAAAAACAAGATTCATAACATAAATTAATCTGAGGATATATCTTCCCAAAAGTCAGGAGTTTTCAGATTAAAAGATGTTGAGGAATTGCATTCTGAAAAAAATTGAGAAAGGCTTTAAAGTCACCATAGGGAAAAGAAATAGGTACTAAGCTTCAGGAATCAGCATGAAATATTAGTAATAATTGAGATCTGGACTACAATGAAAAAGTCAAATTTCTACACAATTATAGTGTAGAATTATATATTTAGTCCAAATATTACTTGAAAGTTGAGTAGATACATTATTATTAAAAAGTTATTGAAAATATACCCATCCCTTGCATGTTTAATCAGAAATCTGTTAGACACTTAATTCTGCAATTTAGAATAAAACCAATATATGAATTTATCTATAATTTAATGAAAACAAAAGTTTTCTTTTTTAAGGGCATAGACCAGCACCTTTTGGGACAATTTATCAAGAATTGTATTCACCCACTTAGGATAGATTATTAAGCTATTCTGATCACTTAAAACATCTTCCTGTTTTACTTTGTTATCTTTAACTAACTGTACCCATATGTTTAAAGTGGGGTAGGTATATCTACCAGTTATGGAATTTATAAATTTTTGAAAGTTACAGAAACATGTAATAAAATATCGTGATCCTTGAAAACTGGCATCCCCATAGACTCCCTTCTAAGAAAAGCATTTCCCTGTGCTCTCTACCCTAAGTCTCTCTTGGGATGTGTCATGATCCATTTGTTTTATGTCAAGATGAGTCTAAATGAGAAAAATAATTTGATGAGTTTGACTTCTATTGATTTCATGTTTTATTCTATTGATAAATTTAGTACGCTTTGTTGTGTGTCAATGGATATGTCTTAGCTTTCTGTATCAAATGGAGTTTTCTACAACAAAGAACAGCTAAATCGGATTTCATGCTATCTATTTCTCTCTGATGTACTCTTAAGACTTATTTGAAAAGATGACCTGAGAGAGTTGCTAACAAATTCTTACCTCACAGAGTAATCAGACAACTGGAAATTCTCTCTCCACCTAAGCATGGATGACAATAAATAAACTAACTGACTTCAGAAGCACAGTCAGACTTATGCTGAGTTACACTGAGGATCATAATTGTAAGAAGAATTGATAAATTTCATAAATTCAGATATCCCTAGAACGTATAGCATAGAAAGGCTAATTAAATAACTACTACAGAGGACAAGAGTTGAATGAGTTTTGGTGTTTCTATTAAGGGGATCCCCTTAGGGAAGCACAGTTTTGTATATAATTTGCATTACATAAATGGGAGTTTCACTATAATAAAACCAAAATGATGCAGAAGACATTTTCAAGATGTTTCACATTAGTTTATCCAAATAAAACAAAATTCAGTATAAATCAAAGACGTTTTTATTGTTTAAGCAAAGTACAGGCTCATTATATTTTAACAATGATTTTAAAAACTATATTGCATCTTTTATTTGTTTTCTCCAAATTCTGCTTGTAGTGACTTTAATTTTGCATTTGGTATTCCAGAAGAGCAGATTTTCTGTTCATGCACTTCTATCCATGTATATGTAGTTATGAATTCTGAGTCGTATGCCTAAAAGAATATGAGTCAAAAGTATATATTAAGAATACATAATAAAAAATTCTTATTGCAGAGGGTAACAAGAACAATGCATTTTATCTTTAAAGTAATGTAAGCTGGGCATAGTGGTACACACCTGTAGTCTCAGCTATTAGGAAGGCAGAAGCGGTGAGCTATGATCACATCACTACACTCCAGCCTAGGTGAAAGAGTAAGAACATGTTTCTTTTTTTTTTTTAAAGTAATACATGTTTCCTAAGTAAAGGTAAAACCTTTATTTCATAAACATGGATAGGACGGTACTTAGTAAATGCTAGACAAATAAGGTATTAAATTCCAACATATGATTATTTACTAGCTCTTTGTCTATCCACATCTATCATCTATCAATTATCTATCTTTACATTTATATTTTCATTTATTTGATCCTTTTTCCTGTTTTACAGACCTAAATTATCAGAAAACAATACTTTTTTTTAAAAAAGTAATGTTTACTATTAGTATTCCTATTTAAGTTGGCCTTGGTTGTGCAAAACATATTCTGTGACTGTATAAGAAGTGTATTTTTGTACAGCACACGGACTCTACATGAGTTAACCCAACTGTATAAGTTCATTTTCACACTGCTATAAAGAATACCAGAGACTGGTTAATTTATAAAGAAAAGGGGTTTAATTGACTCAGTTCTGCATGGCTTGGGAGGCCTCAGGAAATGCATAATCATGGCGGAATGTGAAGGGGAAGCAAGGCACGCCTAATATACTAGCAGGAAGGAGACCTCAGGGTAAACTGCCATGCTCAAACCATCAGAACTTGTGAGAACTCCCTCACTATCACGAGAACAGCATCAAGGAAATGGATTCCATGAGCCAATCACCTCCCACCAGGATTCTTCCTCGACATGTGCATGGCGTTTACAATTTGAGCTGAGATTTGAGTGGGGACACAGAGCCAAACCATATCACCAACATTCTCTCATTTCCTTACAAATTTACTCTCTGTTTATTCAATACAGAATTGTATTGAAAAGACATAAAAAAAAAATCCTTGATATATGAGCTTTGTTCTTCCCTGGATGACTCTGTCACTTGAAAAATAATTTAGGAGAAATAATAGCAAATAGATATAATAACAAAAGGTAAATATCTACTCACCAAGGTGAGTGTTAGGACCACAGATTTCCATAAATAATGTGTTGGGCATTAGTTTGACCATCACCCAGAATTCTTGAGTCTTCTCTAACATGTACTATAAACTTCTATAGCTGTAATATGTTACAAATATTTTCCCATTTTTAAAGTGGAGACAATTTTCAGATTGTATATAAGGTTTCAAGTGGAATTGCCACGCTGGCTATCTAAATTTTATGAGGAATGCCTCACTGAACTTTGAACATTGTTTTGTGGGGCAAAGGGAGAAAACTGTGTGTGAATATAATAAACTATGTGTTCAGTGTGAGAAAGTATGACTACTTATATTTTCTTATTTCTGAACTCAACTTGATAGTAACAGAATTACTATTAATAGCAAAACCTAGATATAAAGGCAGTTACCAGACTGGGATACAGGGGTGGTGGGGACAAAATATAGGTATCAGTAAGGTATTTTTGATGTTGGAGAACTTGCTTGTGACTCAGGATTGAATGTGGCAAGGACAAAGTACATAAGCACTAACAATAAACTACTATTAAACTACTGGAAGGTTTCCTTGAAACTTCAAGAAAATAATGGCTCTCAGTGAATCTCCTGGAGATGCTGGTTTTGAAGGCATATAGCACCCACAAGATCCATTCTCAGTTCTGCTAATAATCTTTATTTTTTCCCTAGACAGAAACAGAATTTCCCCAGTGAGGACATGCTGAGGCTTGAACCTCGTAATTGGTTTAGAATCAATGAAGGGAGGTAAGGTCAGATCTTGAGGACAGCAAGTATATATTATCCTGTATGGCTTTTGCCTTGGGGAGGGGAATTACCGGATTTGAGAGGAGAGGAGGCTGCTATTCTCTAGCAGGTGTAGATGAGACACTTGTGCTGATCCAAAGGGCTTAGGGGAACCTGAATGTTCAACATTCTCAAGCACAGCCACCCTGGAGTCTCCACCCCAGGTCTTAACGTCCTACTTCTTCCCTATCAGAGTCTGACTTTAATATAGAAACACCAGAGATAAGACATAAACCAGGGCACACTGTTCTATTTTCTATCCCAGTTTTCCACAGGCAAAAGCCTTAGCAATTGTGATGGGATGACATGCCAGGGGCCAGGGCACTGCTGTTCCAATAATCCCCGTTCATAGAATGCCTGCTGTTTACAGGCAGGGAGATGTCCACATCCAGCATCCAGGCAGGGAATCTCCATCCTGGGAACACTTTGGGTACCAATTGCCTTTTCCAAGAAAAATAAAACAGAAAAACAATGACAAAAACCCCGGGACAAGAATGTAAGTATAGTTATTTCAGAGGTTCTTCCAGAGTATACTAGTAGAGTATCGGGAACTGAGACCAGGACAGGAAGACAGCCATGTAACTCTTTGTTATCAAGCACATCACTACTGCGCAAAACTAGTCCGTCACCCTGCTGGGAACTCTGGAGGCCTGCACTTCATAATGGCACTACGTGATGGGTGAGGGAGACAAAACCCCAGCAGTCATTGTTTGAAGGTTGTTGGCACTTCTCCCTGCGGTGAGGCTGAGCAAAGCGGGCTCCAGCAGCCAGAAGAAGCCCTTAGAAAATGTCTGCAGTTGCAAGTCATTGGAGATCGGGTCAATGGGCCTTGACATAGGCCCAGGAGGGTAATAATGCTGGACACAACACCAGAGTTCAGTGCATTTCATTTTGATTCCAAGGCTATACGAGCTTCTTGAAACTAATGTTATAGTTTTTTCTCTTTTTACAAAATTTTCTGGAACACCTTGCAGGCAAAGTGGATTATCACCTCCTTAGAGGTACAACGTGTCATAAATTTTAGAGGTAATATCTTTTTAGATGTAATTTTTTTTTTTGTCCAGAGACTAATGCATTTGTGTATTCATCCATCCAGTCAGCCTGCAATCACTCATTTAGGTATTTATTTTGGTGGAGTGAGAGGTAGTGAGCAGAATCAGCAATTCCATTTATTTATGGTTATGGATATATCAATAAACTCTTTTTTTCTTCAGAAATGTTTGCACTTTATAGTTTTTCTAAAAATAATTTTATCCATTTCATCCTGGTTTTCACATTGGTTTACATGCAGGTGCTCATATTCTCTACTCTGTTTTTATCTCTATTTTCTCTGCATTTCATTCTTTGTGTTGTTGGTAGGACTTCCATTTTTTATTGCTCCTGATCATCTGGATAGAAGTTTATCTGGCTAATTTTTTTTTCAAATAACTGGAATTTACTTTTAATAAATATTCTTATTGTTAGTCTGATTAATTGATTTCTACTAATTTATGCATTTTTCCTTTTTCTTGAGTTGACTATGTTGTTCTATACCAAGTATTAGGCTGTTCTATTAAAAACTGAAAGTTTTCTTCTAAACATTACTTTATAACACGCCACAGATTTAGACATCTGTCGATCATAGATTTAGATATTTGTTATTATGTCATTAAACTACACATAGTAAACTTTCATAATGTCTTATTTGATCTAAGAACCATGTATTAAATAACTGTATTATTGTTGTAAGCATTGTTTAATTTTCAGACATGTGACATTAAGCTGTACTTCGGATATCAGTTTTTAATATTATATCTCATGGGACATAATCTGTATGTTAACTCTTTGAACTTATATTTTTTGCCAATAATATATTTATTTTAAATAAATGTTTTATAGGAGTTTAAAATGTGTTTATTTTTGTTGACTTTAAATTCATACTTGTCTAAAATAAACTTTTATTCATAAGTTCTTAATATCTGCTAATTTTAAAATGTTTTAATCAGTCAGTTTCTGAGAAGATTGTGTTAAAAATTTCCAACTACAATTATTACTTAACATAATGTTTGTTATTTTTCACTCTAAAAATAATTTGAGGCTAAACTTTAGCTGTGTATGTATTTGGGACAATTTTATCAATTTGACTATTTTTTTCCCTAATAGTGTACAACGAAATTTTTTTCTTATAGTTGTCTTGCTTTGATGCTATTTGCCTAGTATATAACTGTCATCCCAGTATACTTATTTGACTTGGAAATCTTTTCCCAGTCATATATTTTCAATAAATCTATAAATTGTGTTAAATATATCCTTTACACACGTTCATGAATTTTATTTTAGTTAATATCTAATCAGAAATATTCTCTTCTCACTGAAACCTTTAACCCATACAGTTTTATGATTATTTCTATCATTTTTTCATGTTTTCTGCCACCATACTTTTATTATTTTTAATTTTATTTTGCTTTTGTGCTTCATTTATTATTATTATCATTATTATTATTATTATTACTGGCATATTCCATTGGACAGGTTGTTTTCTTTAGCCAACATGAACATGTAATATTCTGTTTTATTCTTATAGCAGTCACCTAACTTACATACAGCTATACTAACACTCTTTTCCAGTATCTAGTGATATTGAATATCTACCATTTTTATCCAAGCAAGAAAAGAAATTTACAACACATCTCCCTATTTTCTTCCCATCTTACCCCTCATAATATATATCAGTTATTTAGACAATGAATTTTCACAAGACTTTACTCATCTTTACTTTGATATTGCAATATCCTCCTGAAGTCATCATTCTTCTTGCTATAATACATCATCTAAGTATTTTTTAAAATTGAGTATGTTAAAATATCTTTATTTTTAACTTTAAGCAATAGTTTACAGGCATATAAATAAATATTAGGTTAAAAAGTTTTTCTTTAACACTTTGACAGTACAGTCCCATTCACTCCGTGCCCAATGTCATTTTTCCAAGACTGCTGTCAGTCTAATTCTTGCTCTTTCCTGAAATAATCTGTTTTTTGCTATTACCATCTTCTTTCTCTCCATAATCTTTAAGAATTTTTCTCTGTCTTCAA